TTGGTTGATTTGGTGTGCCGTGTCCCTTCAGGACGTTGGCGAACATGGCTCTCTACAATTTCCTCGACTTTCTAACGCTTAATAACTTTTGTATTTTTGCTATCTCTCCTGAATCCTGTTAGGCCATCCATTTACTCAAGCTCACTAAGCATGTTATGCAGTGTTTTTCTCTGTCTCTCTTGCCTTCTGCCCTGTGAGTATCAAATTTTCCAACCTCTCTTTCCTCATTATCTGTGCTAGAAATTTCAACTGTCTTTAAAATATAAGATTTTACGCATTGGCGTAACCAGTACAATATTCGACAAAAGTTTCTTCTTCTATGTACAGTGTTCTTTCAGGACGTTGGCGATCATGGCTCTCCACAATTTCCTGTACTTTATAGCTCTTAAAAAACTTTTGTCGTTTTGTTATTTTTCCTAGAACATTTTCTGCCATTCATTTATTCTTGCTCATTCTTATTCTTCCATGAGCCATTTCCATTCAGGCCGTTGATGATTATGACTCTCCACAATTTCCTCTTCTTCGTTTCTGTTAATTTTGTCTTCTTATCTCTTAACAAATTTTGTGTTTTTGTTATTTCTCCTAAACCCTGTTCTGCCATTCATTTACTCAACCTAGTTCTTCTTCTATGTGACATGTCCCTTCAGGACGTTGGCGATCATGGCTCTCCACAATTTCCTCTCCTTTGTAGCTCTTAATAATTTTTATATTTTTGTTATCTCTCCTAAACACTGTTCCGCCACTCAACCTAGTTCTTCTTCTTCTATGTGACATGTCCCTTCAGGACGTTGGCGATCATGGCTCTTCACAATTTCCTCTACTTTATAGCTCTTAATAACTTTTGTTTTTGTTATTTCTCCTAAACCCTGTTCTTCCATTCATTTACTCAACCTAGTTCTTCTTCTTCTTCTTCTTCTTCTTCTTCTTCTTCTTCTTCTTCTTCTTCTTCTTCTTCTATGCGCCGTGTCCCTTCAGGACTTTAGCGATTATGGCTCTCCGCAATTTCCTGCCCTTTATAGTTCTTAATAAGTTTTGTCTTTTTGTTACTTCTCCTAAATTTTGTTCTGACATCCATTTACTCAAGCTCACTAAATATGTTATACATTGTTTTTCTCTGTCACTCTTGCCTTCAGTCTGTCCTCTGAGTATCGGGATTACCAAACCCTCTTTCCTCGTTATGTGCCCTAGAAATTTGAACTGTCTCTTCCTGATGTGAAGTATAAGTATCGTTTTTGATTTCATTTTCTCTAAAACCTCGTGATTTTTCACATGTTTAGTCCATCGTATCCTCAGCATCCTTCTGTAGAGCCACATTTCTGTTGCTTCAGGTTTCTTCTTCATCAATGAGAATACTGTCCAGCATTCACTGCCATGCAAGTCGGGCAATCTGAAGCAAGCGATAATAGTGTCCTTTGAAATATGAATGAGAAATTTCGCATAATTTCCTGCCAAACTTTAACATGACATATCTTTGCATGGGCACAACAAATTTCAGCTGGTTATTGCTGGAGATTAAGTGACAACAAATCTCCTTAAATCTCCAGCACCTTCCTCAGTATCCTTTATTATTATATTTTATATATTTGCATATTTATGGTTGTTTCTAGGTGATTTTTTTTGTATTTGATTTTATCTTTCTTATTAAAAATCGTGAAATGAAAGTTGATTCAACGGCAACACTTCTAGATATTTTCACATTAATCCGATTGTCTTTCGAAATTTTCATCAATGATATTCTCGGTGACATCTGTTCTCAACTCGCTATCTATACTGAAGACACAATTATATATGTGTAATTTTTTTTTTTGTCTTTATATATATATATATATATATATGTGTGTGTGTGTGTGTGTGTGTGTGTGTCTTTGTCTTTATATATATATATATATATATATATATATATATATATATATATATATATATATATATACAGTAGCGTCCAAAAACTAAGGGACAAAATTTTAAAACCTAATATTTGTTAGAAATAACAACTGTGAAAAGCTGAAATTTTGACAACTGGTAGTCGTTATCATCCATAATAAAATACTAAAATTTGAATCATTTGCAAAAGGATAGAAAAAGAATTATAACAATTATTTATTTATTTTCAAAATAGGATCGACCAAAAAGTAAGGGACAAAATTGAGAAAAACAATGTAAACAGTATGCTATATTCAAATTTTTTGATTTCCTCTAAAGAATAAGTCTTACTTATTCATTTGTAAACGTTGCATCAGCCGGCACCATGGCGAAACGCCAAAACTTGATTACTCTGTGAGACAAGCTATTGTGAAGCTACACAAGGAAAAACACACCATTAGAGAGATTTTCAGAGAAAGTGAAACGTTCCAAGAGTGTTGTAGGCAGGGTTGTTAAATCCTACAATGATACTGGTAAAATACTTAGTGCTTTTAAAACCGGCAGACCCCTGCAAAACTTCGGCAAGAGAAGATCGAATAATGCAGCGTATGTCATTAAAGGACCGTTTTTAAGTCTTGCACAGAAATTAAAAAGGGTTATGAATAGTACCTCATGTGTTAATGTGTTAAGACAGACTGTTTGTAGACGACTGCAAGAAATAGGGCTGTTTAATCGAACCCCAGGGAAGAAACCACTTGTTAGTTCGAAGAATAAGAAGAAGAGATTAGAGTTTGCAAACAGGTATGTAATTTGGACATGTGAAAAATTGGGCAAAAGTATTTTCAGTGATGAAAGCAAGTTTAATTTATTTGAAATGATGGAAAAAAACAATGTAAAGAGACGTATTGGTGAAAGATTAAGTGCAAAGTGTACTAAGAAAACTGTCAAGTTTGGGGGCGGAAGCGTCATAGTATTGGAATGTTTTCTAGCCAAGGTACAACGCCTCTTGTCCGGTTACAAACTCGTGTAAACGCGCAGATCTATAAAAACATTGTTCAAGATCATGTTGTGCCAATCATACAGAATTCAGGTTTCGATAGGGCTACCTTTGTGCAAGATAATGCCCCATGTCACAAGGCAAAGATGGTAATGAGTTACCTTAGCGAGTAAGATTTGGAAATTATGAATTGGCCACCGCAAAGTCCTGACTTAAATCCAATAGAAAATCTTTGGAAGACCTTAGGAGTGAAAGTTATGGAAAGAAATCCCACTAACACGGAGGATTTGTGGGTGAAGCTTCAAGAAGAATGGTCTAAAATTAGTATCGAGGATTGTCAAGAACTGATTCGTTCTTGTAGTCGAAGATGTGCAGCTGTCATTGAGAGCAAGGGCTCATTTACTAAATATTGATTGTACATGTATTTTTATTGTTTTTTTTTGCCGTTTACATTGTTTTTCTCAATTTTGTCCCTTACTTTTGGACGTTCCAAATTTGAAAATAAATAAATAATTGTTATAATTCTTTTTCTATCATTTGCAAATGATTCAAATTTTAGTATGTTATTATGGATGGTAACGACTACCAGTTGTCAAAATTTCAGCTTTTCACAGTTGTTATTTCTAACAAATATTAGGTTTTAAAATTTTGTCTCTTAGTTTTGGACGCTACTATATATATGTATATATATATATATATATATATATATATATATATATATATATATATATATATGTCCGATTATTTTAAAACATTTTATGTTTATACATTCTTTTTTATATTTAAGTAAATGCTCTGTTTATAATAAACAGTATTAACAAACTGTATCCTATACGGAATCATCATATAGCCTGACGTGCGTTTACCGATTGAGCAAGGTCGATTTTAATGTAGTTTAAAAGCAGTAAAATCGACCTTGCTGACCGAAACGCTCCTCTGTGGTTTTTTCTTTCTTTTTTGCTTTCTTTCTTGCTTCCTTATCGTTCTTTCTTTCTTTCTTTCTTTCTTTCTTTCTTTCTTTCTTATCGTTCATTCTTTCTTTCTTCCTTGCTTGCTTTTTTCTTGCTTTCTTATACTTCTTTCTTTCCTTTTTCTTCGTTTCTTATAGTTCTTTCTTTCTTATTCTTCCTGCCTTTTCACCTTTCTTTCTTAATGTGCTTTCTTTCTTTCTTATCGTTCTTTTTTTCTTTCTTTCTTTCTTTCTTTTGGTTCTCTCGTTCTTTTTTCTTCCTATCCTATCGTTCATTCTTTCTTTCTTATCGTCCTTTCTTTCATTCTTTCTTTCTTAACATTTCCTAACACATTCTTTTCTTTTCCTTTTGTTTTCTTTCCTTGGTTAATTTGCGGAAAGATAAGCGTGGAAGAATGTAGTTAATGGCCCTTTTTATTGATCTTACTCGTCTCAACTTGCCTTAATTACTGCGCAAGGGAACTATATTGCGTGCACAATAATCAAGACATGTGAATATTCCACTCATATTTATCCCGCAGCAAATGTATGCAAACAACGCCAGTAATGGCTGCCGCCAACAATGCGAATGAATTCAAAATTTTAGTGTCGATAATTCCAAAACGGTAGACTTTATCAAATTTACCAAGTCATTTTCGAATGAAGCATATACATTTACATCTAAATATAAGTATTCGGGAAAATTTTCATGCAAACGGGTTCTAATCTACAAATTAACCCTTTCCTTTTTTCTTTTACATAATCTTTCTTTGTTGTATTTCGTTTCTTTTTTTTTTTTTCCTTTTCACGTTTATTTTATGCAGTTTCACGTTTATTTTTTGCAGTTTCTTTCTTTCTTTTTCCCCGTCTATTTTCATTTTCTCATATTAATTTTTTCTTTCTTTGATTTAATATTTTTCTTTCTTTCTTTTTCTTTCTTTTTATCTGTTATGTTGTAGAACCATAGACAGATAATACGGACTCAGATATAAGGTTAAATAGTATATTCTGGGAAACGTAGTACAAAGGTAAATGTGGACTGAAGAGTACTTTCTCTCACTGGTGTCCCGACTCACACATTCACTCACTCTTTGGCTACTACTCGGTGACCATCACTTGGTGACTCCCTTTACTCAGAGTTGGTAGCCATATTATATAGGTGTGGAAGAGTCCATTTGTAGGCAGGTCCACACAATGCTATCTTTCTTTCTTTCTTTGATTTCATTTTTCTTTCTTTTTCTTTCTTTCTTTAGTTTCATATTTTTCTTTCTTTTTTTTTCGATTTTAAGAATTTTCTTTTCTACGTTTTTATCTTTCTTACATTTTTCCTTTTTCTTTTTTTAATTTTTACATTTCTTTCACGCATTTACTCATGCATTGGTCATTCACTCATTTATTCATTCATTCTTTCTTTTTTTCTTTCTTTCTTTTTTCCCATGTACATTTCTTATGTGTCTTCTTTACTTTCTTTCTCCCATTTTGTTGTTATTTGTTCAATTGTTTGCTTCCTTCCTTCCTTCCTTCCTTCCTTCCTTCCTTCCTTCCTTCCTTCCTTCCTTCCTATTCTTACTCTAATCCACATTTACTGTTTCTATCTTTACTCAATTTTTCCCCGTGTATGATTTTTACCTTTCTTTCTTTTCATTTTCACTTTTCCTTCCTTCCTTCCTTCCTTCCTTCCTTCCTTCCTTCCTTCCTTCCTTCCTATTCTTACTCTAATCCACATTTACTGTTTCTATCTTTACTCAATTTTTCCCCGTGTATGATTTTTACCTTTCTTTCTTTTCATTTTCTTTTTCCTTCCTTCCTTCCTTCCTTCCTTCCTTCCTTCCTTCCTTCCTTCCTTCCTTCCTTCTTTCCTTCCTTCCTTCCTATTCTTACTCTAATCCTCATTTACTGTTTCTATCTTTACTCACTTTTTCCCCGTGTATGATTTTTACCTTTCTTTCTTTTTTCTTCCTTTCTTTCTTTCTTTCTTTCTTTATTTCTTTATTTCTTTCTTTCCTTTCATTTTCAATTTTCCTTCCTTCCTTCCTTCCTTCCTTTCTGTCACTCATCCTTTCTGTTCTTTCTTCATTCCAAGGTTAATTTTTCATGTTTGCTTCTTTTGTTTCTTTATCCCGTTTTTGTTTGTTTACGTCCTTCCCCCTTCCTTCTTTCCTCCTTTCTTTCTTTCTTTCCTCCTTTCTTTCTTTCTTTCTTTCTTTCTTTCTTTCTCCAACGTCTTCTTTCTTTCTTTCTTTCTTTCTTTCTTTCTTTCTTTCTTTCCACGTAAAATTCTCATGTCTCTTTCCTCTGTGTCTTTAACCCGTTTTTCCTTGTTTACATCCATCTTTCTTTCCTTCTTCCCGTTTTTGTTTGTTTATGTCCTTCCCCCATCCTTCTTTCCTCCTTTCTTTCCTCCTTTCTTTCTTTCTTTCTTTCCTCCTTTCTTTCTTTCTTTCTTTCTTTCTTTCTTTCTTTCTTTTCCACGTAAAATTTTCATGTCTCCTTCCTCTGCGTCTTTAAACCCTATTTTCTTTGTTTACGTCCTTCCTTCCTTTGTTCCTTCTTTCTTTCTTTCTTTCTTTCTTTCTTTCTTTCTTTCTTTCTTGCCCTCCCAACTAAATTTCTATTGTCTCTTTCCTCATCCCATTTCCTTCCTTCCTTCCTTCCTTCCTTCCTTCCTTCCTTCCTTCCTTCCTTCTTCCCTTCCTTCCTTCCTTCTTTCCTTCCTTCCATCATTCATTCCTTCCTTCCTTCCTTCCTTCATCCCTTCCTTCCTTCCTTCCTTCCTTCCTTCATCCCTTCCTTCCTTCCTTCCTTCATCCCTTCCTTCCTTCCTTCCTTCCTTCCTAGCTTCCTTCCTTCCTACCTTCCTTCATCCATTCATTTCTTCGTTCCTTCCTTCCTACTTTCCTTTATCCGTTCCTTCCTTCCTTCCTTCCTTCCTTCCTTCCTTCCTTCCTTCCTTCTTTGTTTCTTTCAAATGTTATATTTTTCATTTAACACTCCCTCCCCTCTCTTCTTATTTTTTCTCATATTTCTTTATTCCTCACGTATTTCATGTTCCTTTACTTTCCCTTCTTCCATACATCGATTTCATTCTCTTTCCTCTTTCCTTTATTTTTTTTCATTTCGTCTCCTTTTCTTTTTCTTTAGTTGTTGTCTACAATTTTTGTCACTTCTCATTTTCTAGTATTCTTCGAGTAACATTTGAGAAAGAAAACACCACCAACAATCGCCCTACTAATAATTCAACCTAACACGTGAGATATCAATAATGCTCCGGGGGAGCTATTGACACAATCAATGCCCAAGTTATCCTTAGAAGACAAGATGAAAATAACAATTTTAAGTAGTCACCAAAACCTGGAGACCCCGAAGACAAATCCAGTTTTGGGTTTTCATAATAGCATCAAGTTAAATTGAAATATGACACTTTTCAGAAGATTGTTGAAAATACTCAACTTTGGATTCAATAATAATAATAATAATAATAATAATGAGAAGAAGAAGATTTAGAAGAAGAAGAAGAAGAAGAAGAAGAAGAAGAAGAAGAAGAAGAAGAAGAAGAAGAAAGAAGGAGAGGAAAGATAAGAAAGGAGAAGAAGAAGACAAATGAGAAAAAGAAAAAAGAATATTAAGATAATGTAGAAAGAAGAAGAAAGAAAAAAAGAGAAAAATAACAATTAGAAGTAGAGGTAGAAACAGAAGAAGAAAGAGGAAGAAGCAGGGGGAAAGAGAAGAAGAAGATGAAGAAGAAAAGAAGAAGAGGAAGAAGAAGAAGTATAAGGAGGAATAATGTGAAGACGTAGAAAGAATAAGAAGAAAGAAAAGAAGAAAAAGAAAGAATACTACTTACTACTACTACTACTAATACTAATACTAATAATAATAAGAAGAAGGAGTAGGAGGAGGAGGAGGAGGAAGAAGATGAGAAAGAAGGAGAAGAATATCAAGATAACGTAAAAAGAAGAAAAGAAAAGAAAAATCAATAGAAGTAGAAACAGAAGAAAAAAGAAGGAGAGGGAAAGAGAAGAAGAAGAAGAAGAAGAAGAAGAAGAAGAGGAAGAGGAAGAAGAAGAAGAGGAAGAAGAAGGAGAATAATAGGAAGACGTAGAAAGAAGAAAGATTAATAATAATAATAATAATGATATTAATAAGAAGTAGAAGAAAGAAAAGAAAAAGAATAAAGAAAAAAAAGAAAAACAATAATAATAATAATAACAACAACAACAACAAATAATGGCATCCCAAATTTCCAGGAATCGGTTCTATAAAGGCAAGTAATCTTTAGGAACATCCTCTTCTTATTTTCTTTTCAATCTGAGAATGGAGACAAATCACTTTATATTATCAAAGAGAATTAAACATATTCGATAATTTATTAGAAAACGTTTATTTATTAAGATATTTCCAAATTGAAATTCTGTTCTTGTCATATTTCTGTTCAGAAGTCTGATGCTCTTTGACTCTCGTGTCATCAGCTGTATTATGGTTTCTTAGCCACATTGGAACTAAATTGCTGCTGCCCAAACATCCAATGGAAGATGTATCAAATTTATGACTAGAAGATTTGCTACATTGTAACTTCAAGACAATTACTTTTCTCGGATTAAATTGTGTTCATCACAGAAAACCCTCTTTCAGTCTCAGCCCTTTATTACATTCACCACTGTTTTATTAACACCAGCATTATATGTGCGTTATATATATATATATATATATATATATATATATATATATATATATATATATATATAAAGAAATAATCACGCATAGAATCAATCAGCAATATTAATGCTATAATTTCGGTCTACAAACAATTATTTCGTCTCCCAAGTTTTAATTTTATAAGGAAAAAATATGCCTGAGGATGAATAAAGGATTATTCGAAAGTACTAGCATTTAAAAAAGATATAAACTAGAAACAACAGACAACAGTTTTATAAATGAGGATTAACAGTATTTTAATGCATACATTATACACTACTAGCGATGGATGTCGCCAATATTAGCATTAATATTGCTGATTGATTCTATGCGTGATTATTTCTTTGTATATAAATTATAGGCTGCCTAATGTTTATATATATATATAGTTAAACAAGTTGGACAATTTTTCTGTTACACCTGGTATATATGTGTATGTGTGCCTAAACTGATATATATATATATATATATATATATATATATATATATATATATATATAAAAGAAAAGAAAGATATAAAATCCGTGTTCTTATAGATATTTTTATTTTTTACAAAATAGTGCTCAATGTAAATTTACAGAGCATTAATATTATAAATTAATGATTTAAATATATGAGTTTTTTCTGCTACAAGTTCCAACCATGTTTCAAAAATATTTTTTCGAAACATGGTTGGAACTGTGTAGCGGAAAAAAAACATATTTTAAATCAATTAAATTATAATATATATATATATATATATATATATATATATATATATATATATATATATATATATATATATATATATATATATATATATATATATATATATATATATATATATATATATATATATATATATATATATTTCGTATAGACAAAATGTTAAAATTCAGCCCATCTCTACTCTGCGATGATGGCATAGAGGTAACATATTTAACTCATGTCAAGTCAGTCGGGTTTCGATCCCGGTTTCAAGCCATCGGTCTTGCCACATTGAGGAGCCCGCGAAACTGTGTGTGGATGTCTGTATTTATTTCTTCTAAGATGCTTTCTTTCGTGCTTTTTCTTCACTTATCGTTTGATTTTATAATCTCCTTTTTTCATTCAGTCTCTCGATCTCTCTCCCTCCCCCCTCTCTTTCTTTCTCGATCTCTCTCTCACTCCCTCTGTGCAATCTTCCCTCATTAACTCATCTCTCTTTTTCTCTTAAACACTCTCCTTTTACAATTAATTGTAGGTCCATCATGTAATAAACTATTTCTTGTCAGATTCTCCTCTGTCTCCGACTGTCGTCACTCCATCTCTCGTTCTACCTCTCTCTCTCTCTCACTCTCTCTCATTCTTCTTTCTTCATCTCGTTCTATCTTTCGATTTCACTTTCCTATCTCTCACTTCATCTGCCATAAAACCCTCTCTCTCTCTAACTCTCTCTTCCTCTATCTTTCCCTTCCTCTCTCCCTCTCTATATTTCCCTTCCACTCTCCGTCCCTCTCTCCCTCTCTCTTCCTCCCTATCTTTCCCTTCCTCTCTCCCTCTCTCTCTCCCTCTGTATATTTCCCTTCCTCTCTCCCTCTCTCTCCTCTCTCCCTCTCTCTTCCTCTCTATCTTTACCTTTCTCTCTCCCTCTTTCTCCCTCTCTATGACAAAGTCTTTCCCTTCCTCCCTCCTCTCTCCCCTCCTCTCTCCCTCTCTCTCTTCCTCTCTATCTTTCCCTTCCTCTCTCTCTCCCTCTCTCTCCTTCTCTATCTTTCCCTTCCTCTCTCCCTCTCTCTCTCTCAATCATGTCCTTCCCGTTCTCTTCGCCCCCACAGAATTCGCCCCTTTATAGCTTCTAATTAATGGCGTCTCCATAATGAAACTATTTCTTGTCTCAGTAATTAAGACCGGCATTAACCCAGTGCTCCAAAACACGCACCTTCTCTTAATTGCAAACCACGCCCCCGATGACCTCAACACAGTCCTCCCCATCATGTATTCTTTCCCTCCATTGTAAGAAATAATATCGTTTCGTTTTCTCTGAATCTTGACATTACTGGCACTACCACCAGCGATTTTCACTATTCATCATCGTCATCGGTCCCTTGACTTCTTCCATCGTTGGAGGGACGAAATGGCAGAAAAAAAAAAACCAGACAACTCCTCTCCGGGATGATCTGTTGGCAGTAGCTCTCAGCAGTTCCGGCATTGTCATGTCTATCCTCTCTTTGATGTGGTCTAACCACTACTACTCTGTACTGCCAAACAGAGAAGAAA